CGCCAACCTGCGGCCCGGGCACCCCCCCGGCCGCCCGCGGTGGCGGGCCCCAAAACACGTGCTGCCGGGGATGCTGCTCCGGTTTTCTCTCTGCCCTGTCGCCTGCTGCATCGCCTCCAATTCCACCCGAAAAAAGGAAGAAGAAGAAAACTTTCTTCCTTTCCATGCAGTGCTTGTAACTACAATAAAAACTAAAGTGTTCAAATTCTGCTGTGCTGAACAGATAATTTTATCCTGGCATCTGCAGTATGTACTAAGCTGGAAATAGCAAATTCCGCTGTCAAGTCATCTAATGTAACATGATTTTTGTTTGTTTGGGTTTTTTTTTTTTAAATGCATTCAATTCTCCTCTTTTGCAAGTACATCAACTATGTGAAAGAAAGTGAAGCAAAGCTGCAGAGCATTGCTTTATATTTTATTATCCACTTTTTTTCTTTCTGGTATGCATGCCAGCGGCTTTATTTGTAATATAGTACCTAGAGCATTTTAACCACCTATATGCATAAGTCAATCCATGAAAGTATTCTTATCGGTTACAGACATTTGCAACGTTTTCACCTAACACTTTATCTAATCCTTTTTAGCTGTCCAATTTCCAGCCATATAAAGGAATGTAAAAAAAAAATTTTTAGAAAGCTCAGGTTGTTTTCAGGATCTCTGGCTGGATACCCAGAAGTGTGCCACCACTCAAAACCAACTTGTGTTTTGAAGCATATTAAACAAAACTAGTTTTACAGACTTTAAAAGAGTTCTGTGGGATTCATGTTTCTGCGACTTGGATCAGATTCTGGCTGAAGACCTAGGGCACAATAATTTCTGTGGAAAAAAAAGGGTAGGCTTTTCAAGCTCTAATGCTTATTTTCCCCTTTAATTTGTAAACTTTTTTTCTGTGCATCTTGAGTAGAAAATGATAACTCTCCTACTCTTCAAATGTCCCCTTTAATTTGTAAACTTTTTTTCTTGTGCATCTTGAGTAGAAAATGACAACTCTCTTACTCTTCAATATGCAGTGAGAATCCACAGAAAAGTAGCAGCTTAGGTTCAACTCCCTTCTTTCCTCCCTCAAAGTAAGTGGAAAAGAAAACAATACAAAATCCCTTGCATGAAGAAACATGAAAAAAAATCCCAAATGAAAAGTAGAGCCAGCTGGAAGATGACAAAGACCCAAAGAGCTCATATGCATGCACGTATGGGTGTGTATTTGTTCATCCGTATGCGTATTTCTTGCTTTAGATTGCTTTTGTATGAACAGAATTGAGGATCGTTCTACTGCTGACTGCTTGTGAGGAGACAGAGAAACTTAATGCGAGAGTCACATTCCTCGCCTGAGCGCTGTCACCTTGCAGGACCGTGTTGCAAAGGTCGGTGTCCAGAACTTCCATTAGTTTGCAAGAATCTCATTCTTCCAAAGCACCATCAAGCTGTCAGGCCTTTGGCACTTTTCACTGCTGTGGGGCAGCCGGCAGTATCTGAACTGCCCAGACATTTCCTAACAACTGGAAGCTACGTAGAGGCCAGATTTTTTTTGAGCTTATCACCTAATGATAAGCAGACAAAACCCACAGATTATACAAAATTTTGAAGGTATTTTTGTTTTGTTTCCTTTATAGTCGCAGGTCAACTCTAAATGACGGCCTGACCCTGTTTTATTTGCTGTCCTTTGTACATTCAAACTGAGGAAACCTAAAACTCTGCTAAAGCAGACTTTGCGTGCAGATGCCTATCTACAGGAAAGCTAGACACATAAATCAGTCCCTTCATATTTTATTTGTATAAATATGACCCACATACTTCAGAACAGGTTGTGATAACTTAGGACAGTTTCAATCAACAAAGCCATGTTTTTGTATAGGCCATAAGACATCAATGAAGTGAAGGCAGTGTATATGTTTATGTAGGCTCTGTTTGATGTAATACTACAACTCATATACCAGTCTCCATCTCTGACCCTGACATTGCTTTAAAGAACACAAACAGATAAGAGTCAGGAGGTTAAAAACATCCACGATGTAAAGTTGTGTTTACTGAAGGGTTTTGATAGTAATTTTTAGGTGTTCCAACTGATGTCCTCTAATTTCAACCACTTGTCGGGAGACACCACATGAATCCTAAGCAGGGGTTCCTTTTCTACAAGACTTTTCTCATTGGTTTCTCAACAATGCTTAGCCAATGACCTCATATGTATGTTAAATAGAGTTTGTTTTGTTTTTTCTTTAAACTCATAGAACATAAAGTTTTATATAAGTTTATGTGCAAGCGCTCTTTATCCTCTAATCACCAAAAATTCAAGTGACTTGCCAAATAATTTCCTGCTGGGACTGTTTCTCTGGATGTGTTTAAAAAGTAAGCCAACAAACAATGGAATATCATCATTATTTTTCTTTAAGTAAGAAACTGAACCTGAATTTAATACCAAAACTACTTTAGATAATATATGTACGTATACATATATGGCATCTAGTGTACAAAGAGAAACAGCTATGTTAGAAATACAAAACAACTGGCACCTTCTTCTCCTTAATTTGTCCTTCACAGCTATATAGATTACTAAAAATTATTTAGCAAAATAATTATTCATGAATAATTTAAGTGTTTATTGATTGTTTGGTTTCATAGTTTCTACTTTCTAACAATAATACGCATGTTACTTGGTATTATTTTTCTAGTCTGGCTGGGTATGAAGGCCTTTTAGAATTAGATTCCAGATGTAGATAATCAGGTGCTCCAAGTCCGATTTGCACCAATACTGTCTAACTTTTGCAGACTGACTTTTGCTAGAAAAAAAAATTGCTAGAATATAGAAGATATTTTAACAATAGCTAACTGATTTGGGTGCAGAAACTCACCCAAAGTGAGTTTCTAACAAAGTCAAAAGGGAGAGGCTGTCTCATATCTAGTCTAGATAGGAAGCCTATGGACTTTCTGCATCAAATTGTGCCTTATCATATTCGAAAACAAAAAAGAGAGGAAAAAGTCATCCACCTTCTTAGCGGCACCCAAAGCATTTGGATACTGAGTAAAACATCTCGTTGCCAAAGTCTTGTGTGCACAGGCCAGTCAGATAATTATTTGCCAAGAAGATCTACTGTAGTGCTTGCAAGACAGGTAAAAGAATAGTCCTTTACATGTGCTGCCATGGCTCAGCTGCTCTATGCAATGAATGGTACAAGTGAGAGTTTGTCTAGCTGGAGAAATAATCCAGAAACGCCTTGAGAAGGGATGAAATTACAGGTGCTCTGCAGGCTCTGAGTTCCTGCGGTTGGAGGCTTCAGCTTCACCCCTGCTGCTTAGTCTGCACTAATAACCCCAGGGACAGGGGTATTCCTTCTGTTGATAACACTTAGCTTATTTTTTCAGATTGTTGTCCTGTGCGGAGGCCAAGGAACTGAGGTTTCTGGTCTGTTTTGGAGAGTCCAAGGCTTGCACAGAGAACTGAAATTAAGTTAACTGCCTTGGGGACTCAGGGCCACCCCTTCCCTCAGGTAGTCAAACATCGTCTCCATTGAATTAGCCTCTGATATTTAACAAGTGTGAAAGCTTTTGATGCTCACTGTGAGCTTAATCTATGTATATGTACT